ATTCTCCGTAATTTTGGACATAACCGGAATGACATCAACGGTAGGTTTCGTTTCAGTCATCTTACACCCGAATAATAGCAGAATCAAATAGTCAAGAACAGTGCAGTGAACAGTGAACAATGATATTTGAACAGTGAACAGTGCAGTGAACAGTACAGTGAACAGTGCCGGAACAGTGATCTTGGAAAATGAAAGTTGTCAGGAAAAAAAAATTCTGACAGTACCACTTTGGTCGGAATAGTGAGTAGAAAAATCTGTAAAGAAGCGGCCGGGGCAAAAAATGGCTGGAAATAGTGAAATAAAATCAAAGCAGCGAAAGACTGTTCTGAACAAAAATAATTTGAACGGGAAAAAAAAAATTTCCAACAACAAACTAATGAAAAAACTTTAATGCTCTGATACCATGTTAGAAACCAAAGAAGTTCTATATTTCATATCTAGAAGAGAAGATTAGAAGGCCTATTGATAATACTAATTCACCTAATCTATTAGTTGCCATACACCTAATTACACCTACTATACAACTCATATACATGTGCTAGCTATGATGTAGTACATGTGTATACATGTGCTACACAACTTGTATTACACCTACTATACAACTCATATACATGTGCTAGCTATGATGTAGTACATGTGTATACATGTGCTACACAACTTGTATTACACCTACTATACAACTCATATACATGTGCTAGCTATGATGTAATACATGTGTATACATGTGCTAGACAACTTGTATGTCAACAATAACTATACCCAATACATATTCTACTTCTATTTAATACGTGACTAGGATTATTTACATAACTATATAACATTCCCCTTAAGCCGGTGCATACAAAATCATATGCACGTGCAATTTTTTTGATCCAAACTAGCTCACACTGCTTCTGCACTAGACCGAACAACTACATTCTGTTTCTTGCTCTTCCAGGACACCAAATTATCTCTTACTAAAATATGATATCTCGACGTAGAAAAGTCTATCAGAAGATTATTCTGCCCTATCTGCATCTGAGTATCCAAAGATCTGATAATGGCCTCGATTCTCAAGCAATAATCCTTTGCCTGAGCTGATTTTATATATCGAAGAATGTGGACAACTGCATCCCAATGACTATCACATGAAGAATTCATAAACTAACTTACAACACTCACAGAAAATGAAATGTTAGGTCTAGTCACTATGAGAAAATTTGATTTACCAACCAGCCGCCTATATCTTGCAGGATAGTTAAGCGGCTCCCTTTCTCCTGGAAGAAATTAGAATTCGGATCCATAGGAGTGTCAACGGGTCTACAACCCGTCATTCCCGTCTCTTCAAGAATGTCTAAGGCATACTTCCGTTGTGAGATCACAATGCTTGACCTAGACTGAGCGACCTCAATACCCAAAAAATACTTTAATTTGCTTAGATCCTTAGTTTGAAAGTGCTGAAAGAGATGTTGCTTCAACTTAGTAACATCATCTTGATCATTGCCGGTAATAACAATATCGTCAACATAAACCACTTTCTTTACGCATTGAATTGTTAGGAGAATCCATNGTAAGATTAGCAAGTATCATGCCATGGCACATATTAGAGTGTAACACACCGTGGACTTTGTATGAATACATTTATTTAACACTAATTCAAGCTCGCTACTTCTGTAACTATATTCTCGATATGGTCCATTTGACAAAGGATCATTTCCATGTGGATATCTGTAGAGTAAAGTATTTAGTTTGTTGTGCAGTTTAGTGTGATAGTGTATTTTTTTTAATCACTTCAATCGTAAGCCGAATATGAGTGCACTGTAGCCCCTTTTTCCTTGACTATGTGAAGAAGCTTTCTTGCACATTTTACATAGGTGTAAATACTTGCTTTGCTATTCTCTCTTTCGGCAATCAGCATACTTTGTCGTGATTCACATTAATCATATTGAGTATGGAAGACTTACATGCTTCAACATGGCCTAGGATAACGTTTCTATATCTTTCATGGATATATTATTTGAGATTTCTATTTTTGTCTGGAGATACTATGGTGCTGCTACTTTGGCTTGCTAGAGCAAATTGTAACCTGATTGCTCGACAAATGCTTTCTTTTCATGGATTGTAACTTAACTCCAACTAGCTTTATCACATTGGTGTATTTTTCACATGAACAAAGCTAAACAAGTTGTTGAAACTTGGGCCCAGCAATTCCATTGCTCACCACGTGAACAGAGATTGGCGTTTCTTTACCTTGCAAATGATATTCTTCAGAATAGTAGGAGAAAGGGTTCAGAATTTGTTGGTGAGTTCTGGAAGGTCCTTCCAGATGCTCTTCGTGATGTAATTGAAAATGGAAATGAGTTTGGAAGAAATGCTGCATTACGGCTGGTATGTTTCTCTAGTTCCTTATTTAGCTCCATACTGTAGCCATAGTTGGTTGATGTGTTTGATGAGTTTAAGCTCACCTAACTATGGGTAAAATTATACAGATTTGTGAATGATTGTTCGAAACAGAAAGTTTCAACTGTAATCGGTTGCCTTTATTTGTAATATCCTTTGTCCAATAAATTTAACTTGAAAAGTTAGAACTTGAACTTGAGAAACAAGGTAATACGAGTATAAGCTATTTTGAAAGAGTATAGTAATTGGGATGTACAACAGGCACTTCTTGGTACAAGTATGAGGTGGAACATTTTGGAAGGAGTATGAAGTTTGCAAGAGAATATACTATGTGACATTTTTGGAGAATATTTAGATCCCTTCTGTAGGCGGAGAAGTAGTTAAGACCTCTTTAATTAGGTTTTCTGTTTTATCTCAACTTGAATGCCTTTTTTTCCGGATTGGTGTATCCCAACTTGAATGTCTTTGCTTGACTTTGCCCATCGGTCATACAATAATAGAAAAACTAACTGTTTAGTCTTCATTGAGGAAACACGCTTAGAGAGGACATTGTGCGCTTTTGGTTTTAAACTGTTGATGTGTGCGACCATCTCATCTAAAAGGTTAAGTTGTTAGACTGAGCATAATTTTATTTACTTCATTATGTCTTCAAAACGTCCCTTCACGTGTGAACATGATTCTTTTTATGGGCTGAGCATGTGGAAGTTGTTTTTACACACTTTTATCTACTTACTTATGTCTTCAATATAAAGAGTAAAATAAAATAGGAAAAAGTTCTTTTTTAAGAGTTAATTTAGGTCCATATAACTTTTTATGGATATAAACACTTGAAAATATCCTTTCTAGAAGCAAATGGTACTTTCAGATGAACACACACAAAAAAAGAAGGTAAACATTCAGAAGAAGTATGATAATAGTGGATCTACTCAACCTTGATCTCTACAATTATTAAGTGGCAAGGAGGTCCAAAATATTTTATTTGTTATCTTTCCCATCCAAAATTAATTGTATTTACTAGAATATAATATAATGACCAAAAAGGAAAAAAAAAAGGAAAGACTATCTTCAACAATTTGTTGGACTCGACCAATAAGATTTCCTTCCCCAGCCCCCTTCCTCTCCACCCAACCTCAGTATCCTTAGCCCTCCTTTCCTATTGGCCCATACCATCACTTCTGCATCCCATAAGAATGTTTTACAGTTTGCCTGAGTTGACATTGTGGCAAACCGTTGATCATTTCCAAAAGTTGATCGATTTTCTAATTAAGGAATTAAAGAACAAGATCGTGAGCATCATTACACAACCTTTGCAGTATCTTATAAACCTTAAAATTTCCCAGTTGTAACAGTGACCGAGTGATTCTTTCAATTCCCCGTTATTGCAATTTCTCCTAAAGTATAATCTCATCCTATAGGTTATGGGTTCAAGCCGTGGAAGCATTCACTAGTTCTTGCATTAGGGTAGTCTGTCTACATCACACCCTTGGGGTGCAGTCCTTCATTTGACCCTACGTGAATGCGGGATGCTTTATGCACCGGGCTGCATTTTTTTTGAGTCGCAGTTGCGTCTTTGTCCTCTTTAATATAAGTTTCCAACAAACTGTACCCAGAGGGCCCTGATATGGTTCCATAAACCAACTTCATGAGAGAGGGACTGCATAATGTTCCCCTCCATATTTTTTCTTAGTTACTTGTTTCAATAAAGCTTTATCATTCTTACAATATTTCTATAACCATTTGAAGAGAAGGCTTTTATTGTGCACTCAGAGATTTCGTTTTGATAAGAAGTTACCCACAAATTTCTATGCCCCAATTCCCCGTCCTTGTTTTTTTTTTTTGGTTGTAAAACAGTTCAATTAACATGAAAAAGTTTTCTTCTCTTTATTCCTCTTATAGGCAATCTATTCTTATCCTCTCCTGCCTCTTCCACACTTCTAGGAATAGGAAAAAGACATAGTGTACGTGGAGAGTGTGAGTTCAATATGCTGTTAATTAGAACTAGTGTGTCACCCATTGAAAGCTTTTATAGTCAAGAGTGTCAGACGACATTTGCTCACACTTATCCTGTATCTCTTGCCATATCTCTGTTAATTTGTACTTCATTTCCAGAGGAAGACCGAGGTTATGCATTTAATTCCAATTTTCCTGAAAAATCTTTTTTTGGGTTTAAGAGGCCCTAAGGTTTCCTATAAATGGTGTTTTGGTCAAGCAATAGTTAACATTGAATCAGTGAGCTTTTGTTGTCAAAGAAGGGGGTCTCACGTGTTTATTAGGCGGAACCTATTTAGTTTTGCTATACTCGATTGCAGATTTATTTGAGATAGAAGTTACCCATTTGAAGAGAAGGCTTTTATTGTGCACTCAGAGATTTCTTTTTGATAAGAAGTTACCCACAAATTTCTATCCCCCAATTCCCCGTCCTTGTTTTTTTTTTGGTTGTAAAACAGTTCAATTAACATGAAAAAGTTTTCTTCTCTTTATTCCTCTTATAGGCAATCTATTCTTATCCTCTCCTGCCTCTTCCACACTTCTAGGAATAGGAAAAAGACATAGTGTACGTGGAGAGTGTGAGTTCAATATGCTGTTAATTAGAACTAGTGTGTCACCCATTGAAAGCTTTTATAGTCAAGAGTGTCAGACGACATTTGCTCACACTTATCCAGTATCTCTTTCCATATCTCTATTAATTTGTACTTCATTTCCAGAGGAAGACCGAGGTTATGCATTTAATTCCAAATTTCCTGAAAAATCTTTTTTTGGGTTTAAGAGGCCCTAAGGTTTCCTATAAATGGTGTTTTGGTCAAGTAATAGTTAACATTGAATCAGTGAGCTTTTGTTGTCAAAGAAGGAGGTCTCACGTGTTTATTAGGTGGAACCTATTTAGTTTTGCTATACCCGATTGCAGATTTATTTGAGATAGAAGTGATGATAGTACGATAGCGCTCAATTAACGAGAGGTGCTGCATCTAAGAGCTTAGAGCCTTGAAGCCTCATATGCAAGCCCATTATTGAAGTTTCTTATTATCCAGTTTGCTAAGTATGAAATTCAAACACTTCTGCAAAAACATTAACCAAGTTATCCAACTTATTGTGTGATTCAGTTCTTTTTGTTTTTGGACCTAGATTTTTTTTGGAAAAACAATAACAACTACTATAACACAATTCCAAGCTACTAGGGGCCTGTTATATGGTTCCTCACTATCCATTTGGCTCAATTTGGACATTTTTCATTCCAATAATTAGTAATTGGTGGTAATTTAATTGTAGGTTCTCTACATTTTATTGACAAATAAATCTCCAACCAACTCTTAGCACTTACGGAACTTAATTTGAGCTTACCATCTTGACTAGCTTTAATCACAACTAGTTGGTACCGCTAATATGTTTTTTTGCTTCCATTATGTTTATTTTTTGCTAAGTCTACATGGATTTTGATGATCATAGGGGTTTTAGACAACTTCCATGTGATTTTAGGTTTATTTATCAACTTTTTATTTTTAAGCTGCTGCTCAAGTTTTAGATTCTTTTTAAGTATTTTGCCTTGTATTAGTAGGAGCACGGTCAATGCCTTTTCTGTTTCATATGGCATTGTCCTATCACATTCAGAGTCCTACATGGTTTTGCAATAAATTATACTAGTTCCGTTGCTTTTTGAAGTAACATTTGTAGTAGTAGTAGTAGTTCTAGAAAGCAAGCGTGACATTTATTTTTTATAAGAGTCGAACATGGTGGCTTAGATTCTCCTTTCAAAACAGTTATTGCCGCCAACAAATGTGTGGAGTTGAAAGAAACACTCTTTTATGCTATTCCCTCCGTCCCAATTTATGTGACATTTTTCGCTTTTTGAGTGTCAATTTGACTAATTTTCGAAGTTAAATTGGACTAGATCAACTCAATATTGTAAAATTAAAATTTTGGATTTCCAAAACTATATGAAAAGTACTATAAGTTACAATTTCTTTTCATGTCAATATGATGAGAACTACATTTTAAAATGTTGGTCAAAGTTCACCTAAATTGAATTTCGATAAGCGAAAAGTGTCAGATAAATTGGGTGGAGGGAGTATATGATTGTTGGTCAGATATGAAAATGACACAATTTTTTAAAATGAAAAGCCAGTGATTTTCCCTACATTCACCTATCTTACTACTGGATTTATCTGTTCTGGTGATTCGAGAAGAAAAAAGTAATTTTTCCCTACGTTCACCTCTCTTACTCTTGAAGTACTTGCGCTCTGAGAGAAAGTTTCTTCAAGAGAACCAGAAAGGGAATTGCATTGATAACATTGAATGCCCACCTGGTTACCACTTCTTGAATTGTTCTGCAGTTGACCTTGTTCTAGACCATGGATGTTGGTTCTAGCACTTAGTTATGCGACATCTTCAGGATGATTCCCCTATCTCATTTTCATTTTCACGAGGGTACAATTATATGCAGGATTGGCAAGCTGTTCTCCTTATATTTTAGATATGCATTGCAAGCTTTAACTAAGGTTATAGTGATCGTAATTCACGTAGCCATGAGTTTTAACTTTGTTTAGCCACACTTTGAATATTAACCTGAATAGTATGATGAACATTGGATGAAAAATTGCCTACAATATCATATCTTTTATCCTGGGTAGAGTTTATAGATCTTTGTACAATGTGACTTGCATTGTGGAACTGCCGTGGTGCCTATTTTATGCTCTATTTAATTCTGAAACATTAGATCACTATCTGGGAGGAGAGAAAAGTATTTGGTTCTCGAGGGCAGCTTCTGAAGGAAGAGTTTGCTGGGAAGCATGTTGGGAATGGAAAGCATAGTGGAGTCAAAGTGGTAAGTCTCCCTTTTTATCCTGGTCTTTTGTTGTTGAACCTGTTTTAGTTGTTTATTCTTTTTTATATATATTTGAAGCTGGATAGAACCTTCTCATCACACTCTTTGCGGAGAAACTCAACTGGGGATGCCCTTGACAAAATAGTTTCAAGTTATCAGATGCTGTATGGTGGTCAAATTGATGAAAATGCTATATTGAGCAGATGTAAAAGTGCCATTAGCTCTGTTGATAAATTAGATAAGGAGATTGGAGGTGATCTAAATCCAGGTGCGTTTTCTTTACCACTTGTGATGTGTGCCTAACATTGCTTGGCTTGTCCACTTTCATGTTATAATGGCGTAGAAGAAACATTTTAACCCTTTCACCAGGGTTTGTCTAGTTGCCCGTCAATTTTTTTTTTTTTTTTTTTTTTTTTTTTTTTTTTTTTTTTTTTTTTTTTTTTTTGATAATGGTAACATGTATATCAATAAATAAAACAGCACTAGGGCAGTGCCAAGCCATATTTACAAGGAAAACAAAAACCAGCTATGTCAACCTAAGATTTCAGTGCAACTATCTGGCCTACTAAAGATTCTGCCTCCTCTACACAACTGTCTTTACACCAGAAATGAAACAAAAGTAAACACTTCATCTTGATGTTCTGTAAAGAATTGCTTCTGTCTTCAAAAGTTCTTAAATTTCTCTCCTTCCAGACTGTCCACCATATGCAAGCAGGAACCAATCGCCACCATTTCTTCTGTCTCACTATACCCCCATTGTAATTCCAACAGTTCAACAGATCACAAGTGTTAGCTGGCATGCTCCATTTAAGGCCCACAATATTAAGAAAGAGCTGCTACAGTTGGTCAGTTAAAGGACAATGAAGAAACAAATGGCTATTAGTTTCTATAGCTGTACCACATAATAGGCATCTAGAGCATAGCTGAAAACCTTTTCTTCTCAAGTTCTCTTGAGTTAGACAAGCCTTTCTTGCAACTAGCCATGAAAAGCATACCACCTTGAAAGGTGCCTTTACTTTCCAAATATACCTCCAGGGCCATTGTTCTAACTGCTGGTTTGAAGCAACAATTAAAGTACATGCGGATTTGACCGTAAAATTCCCACTCCTGCAAAGGTTCCAACAGAGTTTATCTTCAGTTTCTCCAAGACCTTGGAATTGTTCCAAGATATTAAAGAAATCCACAACCCTCTCTAATTCCCAATCATTCAAGGCCCTTCTAAAAGTAACATTCCATCCTTGCTGACCCCAGGGCCTAGGCAGTGTCCAAAGTGAATGTACGCGATGTTGCAATGCTGAAAAAATCAGGAAAAAATTCTTTGAGAGGACCATGTCCTAACCAATTATCACTCCAGAAAAGTGTTTTCCTTCCATTACCAACCTTTATGGTTGTATTATCAGCCAAGAGTATTCCAGTGAAGTCTGATTGACCTCCATACCCCAACCCCATGTGGGCTGTTAACAATGTTAGAGCACCATAGTGATTTTGTCCATACTTGTCACAGATTACCTTTCTTCACAAAGCATTAACCTCCAGATTGTACCTCCAAAGCCACTTCAAGAGTAAACTCTGATTGTGGGCTTTAAGGTTCCTAATGCCCAAGCCCCCTTTGTCTTTGCTTGTGATAAGGGAATTCCAGTTAACCAAATGAATAGCTTCCTTCTCTCTGTTTCCTTGCCATATAAATTTCCTTCTTAGTGCATCAATTCTTTTCCTCACCTTGCTTGGTAAGGGAAACAAAGACATTACATATGTAGGAAGTGCATCCAAGACACTATTAACCAATACCACCCTTCCACCCAAGGATAAATACGGGCTCTTCCAGATTGACAGCCTCTTTTCACATCTTTCAAGAACCCCCTTCCATATTTCCTGAGCTTTGTTCTTGGAGCCTAGAGATAAACCCAAATATATAGTTGGTAGAGAACCCACCTCACATCCCACCCAGTATAGCTGCTAGGGCCTGGATATCATCCACTTCTTTAACTGGGAACACTTGCCGGTCAATTTTGTTCCAACTGAACAATACAATTCTGGTTTGTTTATTCGTTAATTTTCTGGGGTCAATTACTTGGACCTCTTTTTAATTCAGCAAAAATAAATAGAGCTCCGTTGTAGTTAAAATAATATCTGACAGTTTTTTGCTTAAATTTTCAAATTGGATGGCTTTTGCTTTTGGCATCCTTCGCCTGAAATTCCCTTTGCCTAACTTACCCAAAGTAGAAAGAAGGGGCTTCCTTCTTCAAAGAGAGAAGGAGAGAGAGCGAGAGTGAGGGAGACAAAGCTCCATTCAATTGTTTTGTTTGCATATCTAGTTTGATACTTAAACTAAATCAAAAGCCAATTCATTCGTTTTGCTTCTATATATGGTTTAATAGGGAAGCTTAGGAAAAAACTCCGCAGAGATAAAAACATTGACATAACCTATCAGAAAAGGAACGAGTAGACAAAGCAATGATTCGATTTCTTTATAAGGACTTAAGTCTCCTTATGGAGAAGAACTTATGGAAAAAAGGATCTCTCATCAGAAAAGTAAAATAATCTTAAATAAATAAAAAAGGTAAAATGTGCTTGAATATCTAATTTGACAAACACAGGTTGACACTCGAGCACTATGGCGGACCAGAGATTGTAGAGTGGACTGCTGAAATGAGACCTACCACATTTCGTGCTTGAGCATTTTCTCCACAGGGTCTTGCCAGTAGTGCCATCCTCCTGGTTGGCTGTAAGGGCGGGTGCCGGGTTGTCCCTCACTGCTGCGTTCTTTTAAGCTATGGATTAAAAGAACACAATTAAGGAACATAGTGCAATTGTTTTTGTTTTTATTGTTTAATCAGCTATTTCCTATTTATTTTGTTTCAGAAATCTATAACAAAAAATAGATTTTATGACAAAATAGCAGTGTTATCAAAGGCGAAAAGCGCAAAAAGGCTCTAAGGTGTGTTGGGGCTTTAAGCGCAAATAAAACATGGGCTTTAATGAATAAAGGCGCAAATGGAGAAAAACTACAAATATGTATGTGTAGTCCAAGACTAATATCTATAAGCTTGAATATCAAATATATGGACAAAAAAATTGAAGAAAGTTTATAATTAAGTGAAATATCAATTGTTTAGTGTTGCCTCTTCCGAATTACGCTTGTTAGCAAGGAAAAATATGCCTTAGAGTCTGGATGACAACACTGAAGTGCTCATTAAGCGAGGCGAAGCGCTCAACATGTTTTGAGCCTCACTTCAGGGCTTAAGAGCGCGCCTTTGATAACACTGCGAAATAGAAAGAAAAGAACCGATTTTGCATCGCTCAAAATTGACAATTAGTCATACAGAATTTCATTAAGCAACTTTATCTATTGGGTTAAGGGCAAGATATTCATGAGGATCTATATAATAACTCATTGGAAAGAGGACACTTATCGTGGTAGAATAAAAGAGGATCGTTCTGCGGGTATATCCACCCCAAACCCAATATTAGAATCAATCCAAATGTTGCCGGTTCTTTTTTCTGTGAAATTGTTCCTTGCTAAACAAATAGGTGTTCTTCTATTGTTTTTTTAAATCTGAATACTTTTGCTACCATGGAACCTGCTGGTTATTTTATCAACCATTGTCCTTGCTTAGTTGATAATGCTCCCTCCGCCCGATTTTTGCGTGCTAAACTTATACCGTCCTTTCTATTCCATTTTATTTTTCCATTTGTACCTTCCTGTTTAGCTTCTTTTAGTTGTGTAAAACGATAACTGGGGACCAAGTTTTAGTGCTTCAAATTACTGAATTAGCAATGTAATTCCAGTTTGGTTTAGAATATATACTCCTGTTCCTAAATTCAATGTCTTTCACTCTCTCTTGATTTTTATTGTAATACTATAACTCATAAGTTGTATTGGAACTTTATGCTTCCCGCTATGTGATCAAAGTCGAGTCAGAACCTGACTCTCTAAATATTGGAAATCACCCTTTTTGGGTTCTTATGTCAAAATTGTTCAGCATGTAATATCGTATATGTGTTGCTCGTTATATAAAATATCAATTTCTTTCAGTTCAAACTACCCAAACTATGCATGCTGACAAGGTTGACATAAAGGGCTCTGACTTGGGAAATGTGCCCAGTCACTTCTTCTCTTTCTCTATCTCCGAAACATGTCTTTCCGGCGACTCTTTCTTCTGTTAACTTCTTTTAATCTGTTTAATTAATCATGGAAGACAAGATCTTTATTTCAGGTGAAAAATCTTTTGAGCTCATTGATTCCGGCGAGGGGTGGTTTGTTCTGATTGAAAGGGGTAAAAGACTCTCGTGCAGAATAAATATAGATGAGGAAAATCTCTGACGAGTTTGCGACGCACTGAGGCAAGCATCTAAAAGGGAAGGGAATTACTATAGACGTTGGGGGTGGAAATCACAAGCTTACTATTACAGAACTTTTGTCAACTTCAACTGCTATGGTCGATTCATTCGTATTGAAACATGGCTGGGGGACAGGAAGAAAGCAGTAATTATTCCGAAAATTGATTACAACTTGGGTTGGGTCGATATAGCTGATAAAATTTTAAACTTTTTGGGAAAACAATCTTCAACCAGATCCAGGCATGCTTATACACATAGTACAAAGTCTTATGTTGACACTGCAAAGATTTCCCAATGGCCGGAGATGTCAAAGATTCCAGCAAAGGGGGTTGATGAGGTGTCCTCAGTTAAGCAAGGTGCAGCCGGCGAAAGCTTTCATTTCCTCTCAAGATGCTTGGTTGGCACTTTTAACGACCCTTTCAACTACATCCCTAACCATGAGGTGATCCAAAAATGGTTTTTGAATAGGTGGAAAGTTAGTGCTGGTTTGAAAGTCACCCCTATGTCCCACAACCAATTTCTTTTTGAATTCCCATCGAGGCAGGAAGCGGTAAGAGTTCATGCTGGAGATTGGTTCTGGAATGGCCGTCATCTTTCATTGAAGTGGTGGTCTCCGGTGACCGGCACTGATTTTGCCTCCCAGAGATCTGAACAAAAATGGATCAAGGCTTTTGGTATCCCTATTAATGCTTCGAAACTTGAGACATTCAGAACCATTGGTGACATTTGCGTCGGCTTCATTGGCATTGATTTGGATACGAAGTACCGGAACCATTTTATTTGGGCAAGAATCTGTGTTAGCAACAGTAGCAAAAAATGCCCAGAGAAGATAACACTTGACCTTGAGAACTGGAGTTACGAAATCTCAATTCTGAAGGACGTTGTTGCGCCACCAAAGCCAGTTAGAGTAGCAGGAGCTGCATCAGGGATTGGGTCATCACAGGCATAGAGTTTGGGGAAAGCTGATGAGGGTTACGTGAATTCGGGGCACGTGGAGGGACAGCTGTCCAAGGGCAACTTTAATTCAAATCTCTTGGGCCCATTTCCCAGCCTTCTCAATTCACGGGCCACAAGCCAGATCAGGCCCAATATTGCTAGCAGTTCAGGAGTTATTAAAGAACCTGTGGTGGGCCAAAATTTTAGTTACTACAAAGGCCCAAAAAAGAAAGCCCATCAGAAGGCCAAGCCAATCAAACCCAATTTTATTTAGGAGTGGCGAGCTAAAGGTTTATTGATGGACCCTCGTCCTAAAGTCATCGTTGCTGCACCTTCTTCTTCTATTT